GTTCAAGTTACATGAATTTAACACATCAAAGTTACCCAACGTTTCTCTTGTTAACAGCACTTACACGACCTTATGGATTCTGAGTGTCCTAATTATTCACCAGGACTCAAGACTAACTTTTCTGGGGACTGTCCCGAAACACAGATTGAACCATCTCGAATAGATTTCCTTCTGTCCTGATATAGTTAAGGTTACAGTTTAAATTGTGTTTATTAATAATATTAATATTTTAATGTATTTCCAGTGCATTCTGTGAAATATTTTACACATACACATTAGTATTTAACACATTATTATTAGGTTTTTATTAATTCATTTGCCATTTCACCACTTATACTTTAATTTCCTGTATTTTTATAAATGGTGGTCGTATTTACTCATTAATTTGACCGATAGAGCCTTGGTTAAAACTGTTTGATTTGTATGTGACTGCAGCTTTAGTGACACTGAGGGGTTTTATTAGTGCACAGTTGTTGTTTTTTTTTGGAATATTGTTTTCTGGAATTTTAAATTTTTTTTGTGGGTTGAAAAAATGTGTGTCCACACACATGTCGGATCAATAAATATTCACGTCCACACGACAACTGAGCCCTGAGTGAACGATGTAATACAAATGCCACACCTGTATGTGGCGCTGTAAACAGAATACAGCCAGAGCCACTGGACACACAACACTACAAAGAGCTCATGCGCATAAAGTCCTTCCTGCGCGGGCTGCTCTTCTGTTCACATGGCGATGACGGGGTCACAACATCAGCTGCAGTTTGCTTGTCCACACGACAACGCAAAGCTAGTGTTCTCAGATTACTCCACTCTGGAACCTGTTTTCAAAAAACACAGTTTTCACCACCCGAAACGCCAGCTCCATGTGGACAAAAGGCCAAACCAAATAAAAACTTCACAGTTTAAACCAGGGGTGCTCAATACGTTGATCTCGATCTACCAGTTGATCACCAAGGTCATGTGGGTAGATCGCCGTGTTTCGTCTCGGACTCGATCGCGTTTGGACTCGGTCTTGTCTCTCACTCAGGGTCTGACACTCAACAAGTGTGATCATGTTTCATTACGGTCGCTGCTGTTGGTAATAAACTTGTAGCGGGTGCAGGAGCGTGTGGGGCGTCTCAGTGCAGCCTGTGCGCTCATTTGAAACCCGCGGAGACTCTACGGCGCATCACAAACACACACGCTCCCTATGCACGGCTCGTCTGCGACAGCGTGTGCCCTCGTGTACCAGCGTGCGTCACAGGGCAGGTTCAACTTCCTAAACATCCTACCTGTCCATCTGCCTCACGTCAGCACGCCGCCCCTCGCCTTTTCACGCTCTCGCTCCTTCCTGCGTACAGCCAACACAAGCCCCTCCCACAGTGCGGCTGATTAGAAGAGCAAGACCAAACGTGAAGCAAAAACCAGTCTAAATTTGTGTTCCAGTGTTGGCACAAAGCAGGTCTACAGCATAGAGCGGATCTACAGAACAGACCTACTGCCACATTTGGCTGAAGTTTGTCTAACAAAAGTGCACAAATGCATCTGTGTTTGTCACGATGTGCGTTTGGTTTGGTAAACGTGCAGAGGCTGGTAAATATCACTGCAAAACCAGAAAAGAATGAAACTCCAGTTTGGAACTTTAAAAAACAGGTTTAAAAATCTTCCTTCACTTTTTTCACAGTTTTGTGTAAAGTGCCAGAGGAAGTTCTCTTAAAGAAGAGGTTCTCAAACTGTGGGTGAGGGTCCAAAAAAGGGGCACAGAGTGTTTCAGTGCAGTTTGCTTGACTTTGTATTAGGTAGATCATTTATGACTTGGTCATTTTGTAAGTAGCTCACATGATGAAAAAGTGTGAACACCCCTGGCTTAGACTAAAAGACGTTGTCGTGTGGACACCACCTAAAGCTCTTTAAAATGATGATAATAAAGTCTCTAATAGAGAGATAGTAAAGTCTCTAATAGAGAGATAGTAAAGTCTCTAATCGTCTCCACCTCCATTTTTACTGTCTCCAGGACAATGGGACGGTGTCAGCCTCAAACCCTGACTGTGATGAGTTTATAAGCACTTTTCATAACTTTAGAGACCACAACAAATTTTTGTCATCATGCTAGTACTCGCAACTAGCATGCTAGCACACACTTCCAGATTATCGAACAATAAAGAGCTTTATAAATAAATGGAGACAGAACACAGCTGAAATATTTTGACCTCAAGAGCTGCTTATACAATATATTTGTACTGAGGTAAGAACAAATTTGCTCAAATACATACACCCCAAAAAAAAAAATCAAGTCTACAGGCCTTTCAATCAGTATTACTAATTTTACCATCCAAACTTTTTATAATAATTTGCGACACGATCCTGCTTCAGTTCACTGCCAAAGAAATTCATAAATGCATTTACAAGAACGACAAATGAATCGACCTTATTTCACTTCACATATCTCTCTATTATAGTACTGATTTTTTTTTTCTTTCCTTTTTCCATTGAGAATACAAAGCAAAAACTAAATAAAAAATAAATAAATAAAATAAAATAATCAAGAAAAAAATATTTGAACATTTGAGTAGCAGTGGACAGGGATTGTAACCTATGTTCCTTTTAGTTTTTTTTGTTTTTTTTATGTTCAAGTGTTAATAAAGTCTTTCCATGGTTTCCAGCCTTCCTCGTACCTGTCGTATTCCAATCTTTGTGTCAGTGTCAGTCTTTCCATTTATGAAGTGTCTTCGATAATGTTAATTCAGTCTTCCAAATTTGGCAGTTTGTCACTCATCCATTTTTTGGTTATTGCTTTCTTGTTTGCGACCAGCAGAATATTCCACATATATATTTTTTGTTCCTTCAGTGTCATCTGTCCGTTTGCCCAAAAACATAATTTCAAAATTGAATCTTTACTCTAAACGTTTGTCAATGTTTTGTTTAATTTTCTCCCAATATACGCCTGGATCTTTTGCGATGTTTTCACTGAACTTTAACTATTAAACTCTACGTACAGCAATAAAACTTTTCAAGCCTCTGGTAAATTCTACTCTCAGAACAAATTACTTTGAAATTGCTTCTTAAATTCCCCGTTGCAGTTTTCATAAAAGCCAGATTTACTTGTATTTTTTTATTATGATTTGTATCAAGAAAGACCGTGGGTGTCGTAAAAGCAAAACTAACATTATCAACTCTCCAGAACATTTGGAGTGGGAAAGCAGCCACAGTCTCAACGCGGTAATAGTCTCATATTTCACGGCTCTGTCACAGTACAAACCCAAAGAGACCAGTGGTAAAGAAATTGTCCTCCATCTCGTTTTTCAAAATAAATTCGCTGTTATTGCATGAAAATAAACCCGTTCCCCAGATAGTGCCCGGTAAACATCCAAGTTAAAGACTCAAAAATCCCATTGGGTTGCTTTAATTTAAAAATAAAAGCTTGTATTTATGTCGCGCTTTACGTTTGTGTGGTGCTGTATTTCCCGGCGTGTTTCCATGGTGATGTTATTGCCTTGGGTGTTCCACAATATAGCCTATGTTCAATTTTTTTTTTTCCAATTATGGTTTTCAAAGGTGTTTTCACTCTTAAAATGAACACTTGAAAAACACGCAATCTTACCGAGATCTGAATTTCGGCCCTGGAATTGCCAATCTTTACCGAACTATTTTACTCTTCATGACATCGCGAGGTAGAGCAGAACATTTCGAGCTTTGGAGATGGAGACAGACTAAAGCCGTGCTCAAACCGAACACGTCTGGAACTAAAAAGGCGAATGATTTACATGTTAACCCCATGTAAAGGCGGTAAAGCATTTTGAGCGGCATGAATAGGCAAAATGAGTGGCACGAATTTATGAAACTGGCTTTGATGTGCGAATTCCAAAGAGGAAGGTGCTCTCAAAACTCACTAAAGTTGAAAATGTTTAACTTTCTGTGAATATTCGCGTCACATCAACCAATCAGGGGCCATGTTCTGATAGTGACGTATAAAGCTGAGACAGACGTGAACTTTGAGTCAACATGGAGGAGACACTGTTGCCGTGGGAAAACAACTGATATTATACGACACCAGAACGAGCCAGAACAGAGACCAGAATAAGCTCCATAGAGCAGGACCTACACCAGACTCTGTCCCCCTCTCCTTTATTCTGGTCCCAGTCTCAGTCCTGGTCCCGCCAGTCCCAGTCTAGTTCCGGGCTCAGACCTGGTCTGCGATGCCAGACTAAAACCAGACTAAACCAGGTCCAGGACCAGACCGGGACTAAGACCAAGACTGAGACTGAGTCCAGACCAGGACTGAGTCCAAGACCGGGACTGAGTCCAAGACCAGGACTGAGTCCAAGACCAGGACTGAGTCCAAGACCGGAACTGAGAGCAGGACTGAGACCGGGACCAGACCGTGACTGAGACCAGGACCGAAGTCAAGACTAGGGCCGAGATCGGGACCAGGACCAGGACCAAGAACAGGACCAGATCAGGGCCTGATCAGGACTGAGACCAGGACTGAGACTGGGACCAGATCAGAACTGAAAACAGTTTAGTCCTGGTTTTAGGCCTGGTTCAGGCCTGGTTCAGGCCTGGTTCAGGCCTGGTTCAGTCCGTATGTGGCGCAAAAGTCCAGCATCGGAGTTTAAGTCACGAAAACGTCCATTATTTAAACACAAAACTGAAAACTGAAACTTGGTTTTGGAGACAAATAATGAAGAAAATTGTTGTTTTTTCATTTTGTTATTTTTGGTTTTATATTGAAAAACGAATGAACGAACGATACACGAATTAGGATCATGGTTTATGTAGTTTGCTGTTTTTTTAACTATTGCTGCGCCAAAACTATTCATTTAAATGAAGAGACTTGTAATTCGATATATTGTGTTGCTCCACGATATTATTTTGAGACCTTTAACGCGAACTTATGTATTTTTGCGACTTGTTGTATTCTTTTGATGCTAAGGATCCCCCTCGAAAATGAGGTGACTCACCTCAAGGGGCTTTTCCTTAATAAAAATAAACGTACTTTAACGTGCCCCATGTTTTACCTCTAGCGTCTCCTCGGCGGTGCATCCTGGCTGTTGCTGCAGTTTTCCGGTGTGCAGAGCTTCTATGTACTCGTCACATTTGGTGTATCCGTCGTCCAGCAGGTCCTGTTTGGCCTTGAGCAGCCCCTGACCCGGAGTCACATCCCCAATCCCGATGGAGAAGCCTCTGTTCGCTGTGAAATACAAACAGCGGTCAGCTTTGATAAAACATGACATTTTCTGTAAGGAGTTCAAACAACTTTTATTAGATTCTGAGACCAAAGATATGCCAGAAGTGCAGGGAACTCTGGGGTAACTTAAAGGTTTTATGTTACATAAAATGGACTGTTGTGAGCTTTAAGTCATGTTGTAATCTTGTTTCCTTATCAAAAACAGACCTGGAGTTGTGTTCAGGTGTAGTCAAGTCAAAAATGAAAGATACTGACTCTGTACTACGACTGGATGATACACATAAACAATTTATAACCAGCCTCTTCCCCAGACAGTGCACAGCGAACATTCAAGTTAAGTTCAAGTGTTGTACCTGATTTTTTAAATGTGAAAAAAGAAGTAGTTCCAGGGTTACCACTCTATTTCACTGACAAAATTTCAAAACTTTTCCATGACTTTTTCATGACATGAAGTGATTCTCCATGGCTTTACAGCACCTACATGTGCAGAATAGATCAGACTTTTAGGACTAAATATGAAATGTTAACTCTTTCCACTCACCTTATGGTTTGGTTTTATAGTTTTTTAACATTCAAAATACTGTCAGTGCATTTAGTGTCGTCTCTTTTAAACAAAAGGACGTTCGGAGATGTTCAGAAATAATCACAATAGTGTAATGAGAACTTAACAGAACGTTGTAGTTGCGTGAAAGAAATACTAAAATTAAATGACTTTTCAAGGCCTGGAAAATAACATTGTCGATTTCTATGACTTTTCCAGGATTTCCATGATCGTGGTCGTGATTTTCAGTGGTCCAAAGTTTTTCCTCACTCACCTGATGCTTGCAGAGCATCCTAAATATTAAAGTTCATAAGCACTTTTCACAACTTTCATAAACCAGAGTGAAGCTTTGTCATTACAGTAATGGTGGGTGAATAATTACATTTTTTTAATTATTATTTTTTTATTTCCTACGAGGACGACTCAAATATACATTGAGTAATAATGTGTTTAATGCAGCTTTGCGCACATTTGTTTACATTTTACAGAAACAAAACTTAAAACTACATGGCTCATTTGCCTAAACTATAAGAAAAAAACAGCTCACTCCTTGTGCTGCTGATGTGGTTCAGCTTCTGTCAGACTAAAGGACACGACTCTGTGAGGCTCCTGACAACAGTAGCCCTAATGCTTCAACAATCCATCAAGCGATGCGGCTTCATAGTTTACCAAAGTCGTACTAAAACATTTTGAGCGCTGTGTACCACATAAAATCGGTTCAAGGTCAGTAAGCACAACCAGAATTAATACATAAGGCGCACTTTCGATTTTGAGAAATTCAAGGATTTGAAGTGCACCTTATAGTCCAAAAAATACGGAATATTATATTTATATTATTATATCATATTTTCTGAACTATACATATATATATATCTTGTTTCCTCATCAAAAATATCCCTGACATTTGTTTTGTTTCATTCACACACCCTCGTTCTAGTCAAAAACAGAAAACACTCTGCTCCACCTTGTGATGTCATGCGGTAATACAGGAAGTGCTCCACTGTGTTTTTAAACCTCATACACCATCACGTGAACGATTTCAGCCGTGGAATTGCCAATTTCTGCTGAACAAAAGGTAAAAGTTAGCTGATAACTTCAAAACCACAGCTTCATGACATCACAAGGTGGAACAGAGCATTCGGAGCTGTGAAGATGTAGACAAACACTAAAGGATCACTCAAACATGTGTGAATGAAACAAAACACAACTCCGAGTTTTTTTGAGGAGGTAACAACATTCAACACTCTAAAAGTCTGTGTTGTTGTGTTAAGAAAACAACACTGAGAAACATTTGATAAAAGACGTCGTAAAACTAAAACTATTCAGGAAAGGTCCACAGGGTCTTATAAATGTGAATTTTCTTCCAGCAGGAATACTTATGAAGGAAAAGGATTGCATGAGGGTCCTCTGAGGTGAGCTTGTGCAGAGTAATAGCCTTGACCAGGTTAAATTGCCAGACTTCAAATGCACTCACGAAAGCAGCGTCTGCCCAATGCTCACTGATAGAAAAATGTACAGTGCCCAGATTTCATTAGTGTGGGGAAAAAAGCTAAAAAAAGCTACAGAAAAGAGAAGAAAAATGGGTACAATGTCAATTTTGGTAAATATTTGTCATAAAACACAGGGTATTTGATCACTGTGTTTTGAAAATGCTATATTTGTCAAAAAAAGAAACGTATTAACATGTTTTATGTGAGTCTCCTTTCCCTTTGCTCTCCGTGTTGACTCACTCCCCCTTCAGAGCGGCATCAAAACACAATCTACATTCATCCCGCTAATGAAATGACTGTACATTGCATCAGGTTTGTGAAGTTGTAGTTAGAGCTGCTCGATTATGGAAAAAATCATTATCACGAATATTTTGGTCAATATTGAAATCATGATTATTCAAACGATTATTTTTTAGTTGCACGATGTTTTTATTCAGCATTTTTCACACAAAAAAAACGCTTTGTTGTTGATAATTTATGCAAAACTTTCAAACTGAAAATAAATATAGGCTACAAATATTGAACCATAGAACAGTTTTGCGATGTATAAAACATAAAATGAATAAAATTTGAACATGAAATAAGACACAGAAAAATATAAATGTATCCAAAATAAACTATATATCCAACTGTTCTACAATCTCTATATTTAAAAAGTGATATAAATATACTTTTATATAAAAAAATATGTCAAAATAAACATTGTTAAGCTTTAAATCGTTTCAACTCGATTATATGAGTTTGGAGATCGTTTGACACACAAATCTAAATCGCAATCAAAATTAAATTTATCGCCCAGCCTTAGTTGTTGTGTACATTTTTGTGTCATGTTTTCGCATATTTACGTAGAATTGTCGTGTGGGAACATGGGTGGCGTAGGTTCGTGGGCGGAGCTTTGTACAGAATCTTACAGCTAAATGTAAGAAGGTTTGAATAGGGTCTGGGAGAGATCGCTAAATCACTCAAACATGCATGGATGACTCTAAAACCTCTTTAGATATGCATTTGATGAGGGAACCACATTATAACATGTTTGTGAGGTCGTGCAATTGATCAAATTTTTATCTCAAATCGATTTGTGTGTTAAACGATCTCCAAACTCATAATCGAGTTAAAACGATTTAAAGCCTAACAAAGATTATTTTAGGATATTTTTTATATAAATAAGTATATTTATTTTATTTTTTAAATATAGAGATTGTAGAACAGCTGGATATATAGTTTATTTTGGATACATTTATGTTTTTCTGCCTTATTTCATGTTCAAAGTAATTTTATTCATTTTATGTTTTATACATCAATACAACAAACATCATAAAAGTGCACTGAGGTTCATATTTGTAGAATGTTTTTTTTTTTTTTTTTTTTTTTTCAATTTGAAAGTTTTGCGTAAATGATCAATAACAAAGGTTTTTTTTTTTGAGAGAGAGAAATGCTGAATAAATGCATTGTGTAACCAAAAAAATAATGGTTTGAATTGTGAAATCGTGATTTCAGTATTGACCAAAATAATCGTGATAAAGATTTTTTCCAGAATCGAGCAGCCGATTGGGATGAGCCGATGGGAGAAAGCTAAAAAAAAGGGTCCGTCACCTGCTTGTTTCTATGGATACATCATTGCTCTGCCTGGAATGTTCCACAGTGTGACATTAAACAGCTCTACTTTACATTTTATAGCTTTAATAGCTCAAAAATACCTAGAAAAACTGAAATTCTGACTGTGAGAGGGGGTCGCCTCTCCACAGATCTGACCTGTATCTTGGTTTAGTTTGTTCTCCATGAAGATAGAAATGTTTAATGCCATACTGTGAAACATTCCAGACAAAGCAACAACATCAACATGGAGAAAAGTTTTAAAGTAACAATCAGTGTTGATGTTTTGTCTGGAAAAGGGGGCAGATAACATAAGATTTCTCTTCTTTCTGCTCCTTTTCATTCGTTTCTTGTATGTTTAATGTTTTTTATACTTCATGAATGAAAAAAATAAACAAATAATACAAAAAATAAATTTTAAAAATCATTTGACGGACCCTCTACGTGAAAAGTTACAAAATGCACCTTCAAATTAGACCGAAGAAATTCATTGTGGTTCAGGGTTGGGTAATATGTCACGTTATGATAATAAAACCAAAAAACCTGTTACAGAATGCGCTCACAATTATATTTTTATCATCATACCTTCCAGCCTTATTTCAGTGTGCTCCCTTTCTTTCAAAACAGAAACCATTCCAAGTTTCCTCTGGCAAGGACTGTACATCTGCTTAACAAACCCTAGACTCAAAACCTCATAAAATATATATATGTAATCATAAATATTTAATTAAATAAATTTGAAAATACAGTCGCACGTACACAGAAATACGGGAGCGAGGCGTGCGAGGCGGGACATGGCGTTGGCGGCTTCCAGCTGGCCCCAATCTCTCAGGAGGATGTAGAAGATGTTGTTTTTGGAGCCAGATCCCAGAGTTCCTTTGTCCAGACTCCCACACATCAGCTCACTGTTATGGATCACCACGACTGAGAAGAAGCACAGGGACAAATAAAAAACACATATTATGTATTCTTACGGGTTTAATTCACTTTTAAAGATCCCATATTACAGGATTTTCTGAGCTGTGTTTGTTGTTTTCGCATCACAAACAGACCTGGAGCTGTGTTTTGTTTCATTCGCACATGTTTAACACACACACCCTGCAGATTTAGTTCTTCTTTCAAACAAAAAACACTTTGTTCCACCCTGTGATGTCATGTCCATTGTGTTTTTAAACTCCATGCACTTTCACTACAAGCATTTGGATGATTTCAGGCCTGGAATTGCCAATCTCTACTGAACTAAAGGTAAAAAGGGGCTGCTAACATGAAAACTACCGCTTCATGACATCACAAGGTGGACCAGAGTATTGTGAGCTTTGGAAATGCAGACAAACTAACAAGTCAGGATTACTCAAACATGCGTGATTGAAACAAAACAAAATTCCAGGTTTGTTTTTGAGGAGATAAAGGATTTCTATCTAACGTGGCTCTAAGCTCACAAGAGCCAATTTTGTGTAATACCGGACCATTTAAAGACACTTTTGGTCACCTTTGGATAAGTATTTCAAATTTTCTCATTTAAAATAAACACTACATTTGGATAACACACTTTAACAGAGCCATGTGTTTGTTGTGAACACAATTTGACCACACAGTGAGTCCGGTGATGGTTCATGGACTTAAAAACTGCTCAATAGTAATCTGAATTCTCATCTGTGACGCAACAATCCAGGCAAAATGTGAACAGTGTTTTTGAGTGTTCAGAGAAGACGACATTTGATTACAATGGATTAAAATTTTACATTTTCTCACAGTTTAAACATTGATTTAAGAAAAAGAAAAGGTGTTGCCTGTCAATTGTATCGATTAAAGCATAACTACTGTGTATATTAGACGAGCACTGGTCCTTGTTTACGGAATAGTTGTAGGTAAGAGTTACGTAGGGCTGGGAGATATGACCATTAGGGACGGGCATTTGATGAAATTTTCTTAATCGATCGTCGGAAGAATTAACGATCGATTATCGATTAATCATTAACGTTTTTATATTAAAATGATCATCATTATTATTACTATCTGCACTACTAATCTGCATAAATAAATTCAACGTTACGACATATAAACTGTAACGACTCTAGAGCCACATCAGCCCGTTTGACATTATAATGTTAATTCAGTTTTGCGCAACTCTCACAGAAACGAAACTTAAAACCGCATCGCTAATTTGCATAAAATAAGCAAAGGTAAAAAAACAGCTCTTGTGTCGCCGATGCGGTTCAACTTCTGTTGGATTAAAAGACATGACTCAGGTGAATACAGGTTAGTGTGACCAGATTTGCGTTTGTCAAAACCAGGACACCGTACGGGGGGAGGGAGGTGGGGACTCGTCATCCACATTGCGCGACTCTCACCTGGTAAAACTTTTTCCCACTGGACACTGAAACACTGTGCACATGGCCTCCCGCTTGTCCCGACCGGAACGGAAAGCGTGGAATTTCTTGTGCAAGTCATCGTTGCACATCATTCGCATTTGCACTTCAGTACGTTGCAGACTGACCGACTGTGTTTGCTCGCTCCTTCTGATGCAGAGACACATGTACGGACCCGTTTGGTCAGGCTACGCACAGCAACCTACATTCGGTTTGTCCATTAAAATTAACTTAATCGATGAAATTCTTAATGATCAATTATTCGATTAATCGACTAATCATGCCCATCCCTAATGACCATCATGGATATTTATACAACAGTAACAATAACTTCGCAAGTAAGATAGTCAGAAGTATGCTTGTTTCATAATAATTCTTGATTTCACAATTCTTCAGCATCTTGAGTATTAAAATCTAGGGATATCCAAATTTCTCTGTACGATATTTTCACGATTTTTATACATCTCACGGTAGGATATTTATTGCGATATTTTGTAGAGGCAAACAAAATTATTATTAAATATACTACTTTTTCCTTTAAAAAATACCTTGACAAAACTTTGGATTTGTCAGAAACTAAAAGGTTAAGATCTAAAAGTGCTTAATAAGTTATTTCATCGTGTAAACTGGACTGAAACAGAGCAAAGGATCATGGTCTATGTAGTTCCCTCTGTTTCTTTTAGCTCATGCTGCACCATAACGACAAATTTAAGCAAAGAGAATTGAGATTATATAAATTGTGACGGTCCACGATATTACTCAGACACTTTTGATGATATCACGATATTTCAGTTATTGTTACATCCCTAAAAACCTGTATAAATCGGATTAATTTGCTCAAATGCCCAGCTCTACCTCCATGTATCTACTCCCCATGTTGAAGCAGGAACTCAAAGAACAAACTGTACCAAAATTGTCTATGTAAGACTTTTAGCAAACCTTATATGATTATGTTAACTACAAAACTAAATCTAACATAAGTGCAATCTGTCATGTGGACTTTAACAGACAAGAGCTTTAATAGCATCACAAGCAATTAACACTTTGCTTTACGTGTAAGAGTATGACTAAGAGAGGATACTTGAAAAGGTGAAAATTGAGTTTAAGAACATATGGAGATTGACAAGGGAAATGCTTAAAAAAGTATTAATTTAATCTGTGTAATTTAATGTATAGTTAATTTGTTTTTCAAAATAAAACCAAAAATAAGAAAATAAAAAAAACAACTATTTTCTTGATTATTTGTCTCCAAAACCAAAATGAAAAAGCGAATAACGTCCATTTTTTCAGTTTTCGTGTTTAAATGATTAATGGAAAAAATCAATAACGGCTGTTTCCTGTTTCTGTAATTTAAACTGCGAAACTTTTGCGCCGCATACGGACTGAACCAGGACTGAACCAGGACTGAACAAAGACTAGAACAGGAATAAAACGGGACTAAAAGAGGACTAAACCAGGACTAAACCTGGACTAAACCTGGACTGAGTGTCGGGACGGAGGTGCGCCCACGTAGACTGTCGGGTGATCAGGACTGAGATCGGGACAAGACCAGGATTGAGACCGGATCCAGACCAGGAGTGAGATCGGAACGGAGACCAGGACTGTTTAGTTTTAGTTTAGTCCCGGTGCAGCCCTGGTTTAGACCTAGTTTAAACCAAGTTTTGTCCTGTTTTAGTCTTGTTTTAGTCCTGGTTTAGACGTATGTGGCACAAACGTCCGGCATCGCAGTTTAAGTCACGTAAACGATAAACAGTCGTTATCCGTTTTTTCCATTTTTCATTTAAACACAAAATCGAAAACTGAAAAAACTAATCATTATCTATTTTTTAATTTTGGTTTTGGAGACAAATAATGAAGAAAATAGTTGTTTTTTCGTTTTCTTATTTTTGGTTTTATTTTGAAAAACGAATGAACGAATGATACACGGACTGAAATCAAATGTGTGGAAACCAAAGGCTGTAAATGCTATACAAATAACAAAATATGTATAAATGTATAACCAGCTAACACTGTAGTTTAGACCTGAAATTGTTCTTGATTCTTGTAGTTTAGGAGTTCATTTCAGTTTTCTCACAAGTGTTAAAAGGTCTTATATTACACAAAATTGACCCTTTTGAGTTTTTAGTCTTAATGCTGCTATATCCTCCAAAACAGACCCGGAGTTGTGTTTTGTTTCCTTCACACATGTTTGAGAAATGCTTTAGTATTAGTCTGTCTACATCACAGGTGTCAAACATGCGGCCCGGGGGCCAGATTCGGCCCTCCAAGACCTTTAATCTGGCCCTCGGCTGATTTTCTACTCAAATATTTTAATTCTATTTTTTATTAAAATATTGGTAATTTTCTGTGGTGTTGATCACAGCAGCGTCTCCAGCGTCTCTGTACGTGGCCCCTCCCACCAGAGCAGCACAAATGAAGACTTGTCTCTTTCCAAAAGCTCTTAAAGGACGATCGTTTTGACTGTTGACCGTGACACCCTCATCAGAAAAATGTCAAACATGAGACAAGTGGAGCCGAGTGCATGATTTTACAACAAAAATTTACTTATTCCTATTTCTACAAGTTAATTGTAAACAAGTTCATGTTCAAACTTTGTGTTGAAATTGTATTTTTCTTAAAGTTTCAGGTTGTTCATAATACTATAATATTTTGTAAAAGAAAGAGTTCATCAATTAAAAAAGATTTCTGTAATAGATTTGTGTTTCTCTGCACAAATATTTGAACTTATTGTTATTTTTGGGGTTTATATGACATGAGTTTTCTGATCCAGCCCCTTTGGGATCAAAGTCGGTTGGATATGGCCCCCGGACCAAAATGAGTTTGACACTCCTGGTCTACATCTTCCAAGTTCAAAATACTCGGTTCCCCTTTGTGATGTCATGAAGCAGTAGTTTTCAAGTTAACAGCTCCTTTTACATTTAGTTCAGCTGAAACTGGCAATTCTAAACAGGCTGAAATTATCCAAATGACTCAAGTGAAGCCGTATTTAAAAAACACAGTGGAGCAGTTACTTTATTTCCACATGCAGGGTTCCCACGCTTTTTCACTGACAAAATTTCTAAACTTTTCCATGACTTTTTCATGACCTAAAGTGAATTTTCCATGACTTTACGGCACCTACATGTGTAGAATTGATTAGACTTTTAGGGCTAAATATGAAATGTTTCCACTCACCTTATGGTTTGGGATTATAGTTTTTTAACATTCAAAATCCTGTCAGTGCATTTATTGTCGTCTCTTTTAAACGAAAGGTGCTTAACAGAACGCTGTAGTTGAGTGAAATAAATCCTAAAATCCCATGACTTTTTCAAAACTTTCATTGAATTTACAAATGTGTGAATGAAACAAAACAACTCCTTAAGATTAAGAACTCACTCAGAACTAAAAGATATGAGTTTTTGAGTTATATCTTTATCGTCGCGGAATAAAACGAGACGAGTAATGGTCTTGGTAATTAGCGCTGAGCCGGAGATGTGAGATGCGTATGACTAATAGACGCCATTTTTGAAGGTGAAAAATGAATCCACGAGGTGTTTTATCGTCCATTAAAAACGA